GCCAATCACAATAATCTGAGTCGTGACAATGAGATTTTCTAACATTAGGAGGACAGATGATTGATAGCTGAAAATTATGTGTGAGGTAAAGTATGAATTATCTAGATCCTCGTTAAAAGAAAATATGAACTTGAAGTTCAAGTGATAATTCATTTGCATAATGTTGCAAATCAATTGTCAGATGAATTTACTGACCCTATGATATAATTCAGCTGCGAATGCTCCAATGAGATGTCCTTGAAGGACAGAGTCTATGATACGCCTGAAGCGTAGGTTCTTAGTAATGGTTCTCCCACTGGAGGGTTAGTGTGGGTGCCAATCACAATAATCTGAGTCGTGACAATGAGATTTTCTAACATTAGGAGGACAGATGATTGATAGCTGAAAATTATGTGTGAGGTAAAGTATGAATTATCTAGATCCTCGTTAAAAGAAATATGAACTTGAAGTTCAAGTGATAATTCATTTGCATAATGTTGCAAATCAATTGTCAGATGAATTTACTGACCCTATGATATAATTCAGCTGCGAATGCTCCAATGAGATGTCCTTGAAGGACAGAGTCTATGATACGCCTGAAGCGTAATAGACAATCGGTTCCAAATGTAAAATTTCTTGAAGAAAGAGAGGACCAAATGATCAATATGGTCATGATAATGAGGCAAGTGCTATAAAAGAGCACCACGACATAACACTTCATAAAATCTTGGAAAAGGTTCAGGTACCTGAAAAATGAAGAGATCTCGATAAGTTATTGCATATTGAAATCGATATCAAATAACCGTCGACGGTATCTTTGATATGAAGTAGCGCTTCATGATATAGATCATGACAAGGATCTTGAATTCAAATCTGTCATATGATGTGGATAGATAAATGATTGGCCAAGTAAAATGCATAATTCAAGTATATTTTGTTTCACTTAGAAAGTGATGTTTTAGATTAATAGTCCATAAATCAAGGTATAATGTCAATGGGGTATAAATAAATTATTATGCGATGGTATATCCGTAAGATATCAAGTACGGCCTGTGCGCTAGGGCATACAGATTTGTCGCAAAAATCCTGACATTATTAGAGATGTTTTCTCCTATGGTGGATGCAATGAGATTTGTTTTGATCTGGCAATATATGCAAACTTGAATGCAATAATGAATAATTATCATGTCTAGCTAGACAATACTGAAGGTTGTATGAAAATCCTTAAAGCAATCAAGGTGTCTGAAACATACAAAAGTTTGAAAGAAACTTTTTCAATAAAGCTTCAAAAATCCTTATATGGATTAAAATAATCAAGGAAGAAAATAGTACAAAAAGAATGACCCTAATTGTTCTTGCATTTTTATGAAAATGTCAGAATCTGAATTTGTTATAATAGTTGTGTATGTTGATGACTTGAACATTATTTACACTCTTAAAGAGCTTTCAAAAGCTATTGAGTGTTTGAGAAGGGAATCTAAAATGAAAAGATCCTGAAAAGACAAAATTTTGTCTTGACCTACCGATTGGGAATTTGACGAAAGAAATATTTGTCCATCAATCAACATACACATAAAAGTTTTGATTTGATTTTATATGGATAAATCACATTCATGAATACCACAATGACTATAAGATCACTTGACATAAATAAAGATTCACTTTGATCTCATAAGAATGATGAAGAGCTTCTTTGTGATGAAACTCCATATCTTAGTGCAATCAGGGCACTAATGCATCTTGCTAACAATACTCTATCAGATATTTGTTTTGCAGTAAATTTACTGGCAAGATTCTGCTCCTCCCCAACAAGAAGGCGTTGAAATGACATAAAAGACATTTATTTGAAGTTATTCTACAAGATAATCAACTGCAAATGAAAGTGTCCACAAGATGATTGCTGTTATGAACAAGTTGAATGAGCAATTTACTTGCAACAACGAGGTCACGAATAGAGTGATTTTCAAGAATGTATTCGGCTAAGTTCAAAGCCTCATCATATCCATGAAACTAGAAAATGATGTATCAGGATGAGTTCAATCATGCAACATCTTCGTGAATGTGATTTGATCACAAAGACACTATCGATATTTGAGAAGTTGGTATATAAGATTGGATGACATTATCTCAAGAAATTAAGTGATATTTTAATCCGGGGAGTAGAATACGCGTTGCACTCTTTTTTCCTTGACCGAGGTTTTGTCCCACTGAGTTTTTCTAGCAAGGTTTTAATGAGGCAACTATTACTGTGTATCAAAAGATATGTGTACTCTTTTTTATTCACTAGGATTTTTTCCACATGATTTTTTCTAGTAAGGTTTTAACAAGACACATTATCTATGGACATCCAAGGGGGAGTGTTATAAATCCATTAAATAATGGATTGTCCATTTGATTTCTTAAAGAATTAATTGGATTCATGTATGTATAATTCCAAGGTGATATGAACCTTGGTGGATAATTATGTATCTGCTTATTTGGCTTTTAACAAGGTGACCTTTGAGAGTGATATCTCAACACTACAAATAGATATATCATTAACCATTTGGTAGATACACTTGAATAGAAAAGTTTTCTCATCCATCTTGTCTTCTTCTCTTTATATTATATTATTCTTAGCCTATATTGTAGCGACTTAAAGCTTTGGGTCAAGCCCATTTAAAATAAGCAACTAATTAATTTACCTAACACACCCGTTGACTGCTTAATTCCCAAGTTTTACCCACCTCCTTAGTAAATTAATTATCAGATAAGTTTGAGAGAGGCGGTGGAAGAGGCTTAAAAAAAAGGGCAGCGTGGGTTTCAGCTTAGAAGTTGTCCGACTCAAACAGCTGGAGAAAACAACAAAAAAACAGAGTAAGAGAGACGAAGCAGAGGAAAAGAAAAAATAGTAGAAGAGAATAGAACTCAACACTAGGTAAAAGATTTTATCTCTAAAATCCAAAACAAGCAGTATTGTAGAAGACCCCACAGTTGTTCTCCATTCTTGACTTTGCAAATTATTGAAATTGTGTGGCATAATCACTGGAAGGAGGGTGGAGCTATTTCGATGGAAGTACTGTGAGTGATAATTCCTCTAGAGTGGATTTCCAACTATAGCATGTTTTAAATTCATCTTGTTTTTCACTAAAGTGATTTATCTAGAAATTGATTTATTGTATGCAGAAAAGCGATAATATGATCAATATGAATCATTGTTACCATGAGTTTACATGCTGATGTTTTCGAAGTTATGTGAATTTCGAGTTTACATACCATTGGATTCAAATTTGACACAAAGTATGTGAATCTATGTGAATTATAATGAACTATATCGAGAAGCTAACCTTGCTAGTTCGCCGTTATCTAACGTCGGGATCGTTAGACCTGGTGCACCTGGTAGGAAAACTAATGTGGTACAACCACCCTCTAGAAGGGAACCTAACTGACGGGGTGGTCAGACGGTTATGGTAAATCCGTAGTGTCAGAAAGTATACTCGATACTGGCATTGGATCCTCCCAGTAAATAATGAATGTGATTATTGCAATATCTTGAATACAATTTTCATACATGAATAGCTAATTTAGTTGAAGCAAGTTATGGCTACTGTTTTATAAATTGCATAATGTTTTATTTATATGTTTTCCCAAGATAAAACGCTATGGTGCATGTTATTACTCACTCAGTCGGTGTGACTGACCTCGCTTCCTTTTTATCTTTTCAGATAACTCAACTGAAGGTGAGCCTTAACTCTAGCATAGTGATAGATAGCGCTGACACCGCATCCAATAATCCCCGCAGTTGCTTCGCGTGGGCCATCCTTTTGTTTCGACTAATAAAGTATATTAGCGTTTCTAATCCTAGAGTCTTGCTCCTTGAGTCGGACTTGTAAATTGGTTTTGGTTTTGGTTTGTGTTGGTGAAAGGGCGACTTGGAACTTCTAAAGTTTTGTGGAAGTCACTGACTTTTGATTATGATAGTCTTTTAGACTTTATATGTTGTTACAGGTTTAAAATTTATGGATTGCTTCATATATAGAGGAAACTCTGTCAAATTTTTAGCAAGAAAATGGTCTAGGCTTGCTCGGTAGGCCTAGGCTTACTGAGCGTTGGTCATGGCTTATGTGGATTGGGTCGTGACAGAGTTGGTATCAGAGCCTTAGGTTTAGAGTATTACTGAAGGAGCATCGATTTATGCAGGAACTTAATCGTGTATATGTGGTGCACCATATGCACGATCGAGAACCTGTAGAAATTGACTAGGCACATCTTTCTCATTTTTTGTTAAATTATGTAATGTTATAAAAGGTCTAGAGCCAACTAAGAATCTAATATCTTTTATATGATTATAGATTTCATATAGAGTTGTGCTCCCTCCAAACTTAGGTTGGGGTCAGAAAAGAGGTCGAGGAATACCGACTAGGCAAGCTCCCGACCCCGCTGTTGAAGAAAAGGTGATACCACCGCCACAATCTCAGAACGATACTACTGTCGACACGATAGCTATCATGTTGCAGTAGGCAATGGAAAGCTTGGTAGGGAAGATCCAAGCGCAACCTCGAGAGAGTACACTTGTTGAAGCGAATAAGGGACATAATCAATGCAATGAGCCACTTCGTAGGTCAATTCGTGAGTTTCTTGAGTTGAAACCTCATGTGTTTACGGGAGCTAGTGAGGTCGAAGACCCCTTATTGTTCTTGGATGGAATTCGGAAAGCCTTAGATACACTTGAATGTTCTAGCACGAGGTCAGTAAAGTTGGCTGCCTATTGTTTGCAAGATATAACTGAAGAATGGTTTAAATCTTTTAAGGCAGGGCGACCAATTAATTCACGTCCCTTGACGTGGAAAGAATTTTCTGATGCATTTACTAATTGATTATTGCCCATGAGTATGAGGGATGTTTTGTTAATACAATTTGAGAGATTGGGACAAACCTCACAGATGTCAGGGAAAGATTATGACATTCAATTCACTCGTTTGTCCCGACATGTATCATATAAGATGAACAATTCTATGCGGGCTAAAATGTTTATATGAGGTATGATTGATTCATTGTTCAAACCACTTGCCTCACATTTGACAAAGGGAGACATAAAGTACTCACAAACAGTAGATGTTGCAAGAGAATTGGAGACTAGATGGAGGGATGAAAGAACAGTTAAAGTGCAAAATAAAAGAACGAGGACCATGGGATTCTTTGAAGGGGATATGGGTACAAAACGAGGATTTGGATCTCAGAACCATCCAAGGGCTTCCCAGACTGGAGGTGCATCCATCATCCAGCCATCCAACAATGCTTCCACCTTAAAACAAAGTCGTAGAAGTCCCATATCATCTACTGGACAGACTAACCGCACTACAACTATATGCCCTAGTTGTCACAAGGCTCATTCAGGCCAATGTTGGAGAGAGATTGGTGCATGCCTTCGATGCGGACAGATGGGACATTACAAGAAGGATTGCCCACGTTATCTCAGGGGATCTAATCAAGCATCAACATCAGTAAATAGTGCACTGACAAATTCTGCCGCTTTTACCGCTAAGGATAATTTTGGGGCAGCCCGTAAAGGTGCCGAGAATAGAAATGCTAACGATAGAGGACCAGGAACGATCGGTAGAGACGAATCTCGAGTGTTTGCTCTTACAAGGCAAGATGTTGAGGCATCAAATGCAGTCATTACAGGTATACTTTCAGTATGTTCATTTGATGCTATGGCTCTAATTGATCCTGGATCAACCCATTCCTATATGTACTCATATTTTGCAATAAGGTTTGATAGATTGCCAAAATTATTGAAAGATCCCTTTTTAGTTGCTACTTCAGTTGGAGAATCTTTACTGGTCAAGAGAGTGTATCACTCTTGTCGACTTAGTGTTAAAGGAAAAGGCACAGTAGCAAATTTGTTTGAGCTTGAAATGGTGGATTTTGATCTAATCTTGAGCATGGATTGGTTAGCTTCGTGCCATGCAATTGTGGATTGCCATTCTAAAATAGTTCGCTTTAATATACCGGGTGAGCCTAATTTCATGTTACAAGGCAACCAAGTCTCATCTCTGAATAATCTGATATCATTCATGAATGCAAAGCGGATGCTAAGCAAAGGTTGTCAAGGCTTTTTGGCATTTGTCAGAGCTATGAAGATTGCGGTACCAGAATTAGAATCTGTTCATATTGTGAGTGAGTTTCAGACCTAACTGGATTACCTCATGTTAGAGAAATTGATTTCGGCATTGATATAGTACCTGGAACACAACCCATATCAATACCTCCATATCGCATGACACCAATAGAGTTAAAAGAATTGAAAGAACAATTACAAGATATGTTAAACAAAGGGTTCATTAGGCCAAACACTTCTCCATATGGTGCACCAGTCTTGTTCGTGAAGAAGAAAAATGGATCCATGAGACTATGCATAGATTACCGACAGTTAAATAAGGCCACGGTGCGCAACAAGTACCCGTTACCACGCATTGATGATTTGTTTGACCAGTTTCAGGGTGCAAAGAAATTCTCCAAGATTGATTTGAGATCCGGATATCATCAACTTCGTATTAGAGGAGATGATATCTCTAAGACTGCCTTTCGAACCAGGTATGGGCACTACGAATTTCTAGTGATGCCTTTTGGGTTAACGAATGGACCTGCAATATTTATGGACATGATGAATAGGGTGTTCAAGCCATATTTGGATAGATTCGTGATCATGTTTATTGATGATATCCTTGTGTATTCAAGAACATATGAAGATCATGAACAACACTTGAGGATGGTATTACAAGCGCTCCGGGAACACAAATTATATGCTAAGTTCTCTAAGTGTGAATTTTGTTCGAACCAAGTTGCCTTCCTAACTCATGTAGTATCTGAAGAAGGGATCTTAGTTGACTCCAAGAATGTGGAAGGAGTAAAAAAGTGGCCAAGACCAACCACCGTGATAGAGATACGAAGCTTCTTGGGCCTAGCAGGATATTATAGGCGTTTCGTGCAGGATTTTTCTAAGATAGCGGCACCTTTGACAAAGCTAACACAAAAAAAATGTGAAATTCCAATGATCTGAGGCATGCAAGCAAAGTTTTCAAAAGCTCAAGGAAAGCTTGACAACCACCCAGTATTAGTACTTCCATCGGGAACCGGAGGATTTGTAGTTTATTGCGATGCCTCTCGAGTGGGACTTGGGTGTGTGCTTATGCAAAATGGACGGGTCATAGCTTATGCTTCGAGGCAATTGAAAAAGTACGAGCAAAATTATCCAACACATGACCTAGAGATGGCTGTAGTTGTCTTTGCTTTGAAGATTTGGCGACATTATCTATATGGAGAGAAATGCGAGATATATACTAATCACAAGAGCCTTCAATATATCTTTCAACAAAAAGATCTGAACCTTCAACAACGAAGATGGGTGGAATTATTGAAAGACTATGAATGTGCAATTTTGTACCATCCAGGGAAAGCCAATGTAGTCGCTGATGCGCTGAGCCGAAAGTCAATAGGGAGTTTGGCCCACCTTACCTTAACAAGGAGACCACTAGCAAGAGAAATTCACAAATTGAAAGAAAGTAGAGTATCCTTCAGTTTAGGGCATGCATGTTCATTATTGGCATGTGTTCAAGTGAAGTCATAATTAATGGAGGATATAAAGGCAAAACAATACCTAGACATGCGGTTGTGCAAAATTAGAGATGAAGGTATTCTTAACAAGAATAAAGATTTTATTGTGGATAGTCATGGGGTATTGCGACTTGGCAATCGTGTTTGTGTACCGGATGTTAACGATTTGAGACAAACGTTGCTTGAAGCAGCGCATGGCTCCAGGTACTCAGTTCATCCCGGATCCACAAAAATGTACCAAGATATTCATCAGTTGTACTGGTGGGAGGGTATGAAGAAAGATGTGGCGAATCATGTCACTCGATGTTTGACTTGCCAGCAAGTTAAAGCTGAACACCAAAGACCTGCAGGGTTGATGCAACAACTTGTGATACCAGAATGGAAATGGGAGCGAAATACCATGGATTTTATCAGTGGATTGCCACGAACTCTTAAGGGCTATGATTCTATATGGGTGATCGTGGATCGATTAACAAAGTCAGCACACTTCCTATCGGTCAAAACTACATATAATGGCGCACACTATGCACAAATTTATATTGATGAAATTGTTAGGCTTCACAGAGTTCCAATTTCTATTATATCAGATAGAGGATCCCAGTTCACCTCACACTTTTGGAAAGCATTCCAAGGGACATTGGGAACGCAAGTGGAATTGAGTACGGCATACCACCCACAAAATGACGGTCAGTCAGAGAGAAACATACATTCTCTTGAAGATATGTTGAGATATTGTATTCTTGATTTTGGTGGTAGTTAGGACAAATATCTACCGTTGACAGAGTTTGCTTACAATAATAGCTTCCAAGTGAGTATACAGATGGCACCTTACGAGGCGTTATATGGAAGGCGATGTCGATCTCCCATTGGGTGGTTTGAGGCTGGTGAGGCTAAGGTATTGGGTCCAGATCTTGTGAAGTCAGCGATTGACAAGGTTCAATTAATTAGGCAAAGATTGCTAGCAGTCCAAAGTAGACAAAAGGCTTATGCAGATAAAAGACATCGAGAGTTGGAGTTTTTAGTAGGGGATCATGTGTTCTTACGAGTATCACCAATGAAAGATGTTTTAAGATTCGGGAAGAAAGGAATATTGAGTCCAAGATATATTGGGCTATATGGGATACTTGCTAGAGTTGGTGTTGTTGCATATCGTTTAGCACTTCCACTTGAGTTATCTTTAGTACATTCAGTCTTTCATGTATCAATGCTACGAAAGTACATACCAGACCCTTCACATGTGCTAAAAGCATCAAACATCCGGTTGGACGAGAACTTAACCTATGAAGAGGAACCAATGTTTATAATGGACAAACAAGTAAGGAAGCTACGTTCGAAAGAGATGGCGACAGTGAAAGTAGCATGGAAAAATCACTCTAGCGAGGAGGCAACATGGGAAGACGAGAAGGTGATGCAGGTTAAGTATCCTCATTTATTCAGACCCGCAAATATATATATATGTTTAAAAATTCGGGGCCGAATTTTCTTAAGAGGGAGAGAATGTAGCGACTTAAAGCTTTGGGCCAAGCCCATTTAAAATAAGCAACTAATTAATTTACCTAACACACCCGTTGACTGCTTAATTCCCAAGTTTTACCCACCTCCTTAGTAAATTAATTATCAGATAAGTTTGAGAGAGGCGGTGGAAGAGGCTTAAAAAAAAGGGCAGTGTGGGTTTCAGCTTAGAAGTTGTCCGACTCAAGCAGTTGGAGAAAACAAAAAAAAACAGAGTAAGAGAGACAAAGCAGAGGAAAGGAAAAAAATAGTAGAAGAGAATAGAACTCAACACTAGGTAAAGGATTTTATCTCTAAAATCCAAAACAAGCAGTATTGTAGAAGACCTCACGGTTGTTCTCCATTCTTGATTTTGCAAATTATTGAAATTGTGTAGCATAATCACTGGAAGGAGGGTGGAGCTATTTCGACGGAAGTACTGTGAGTGATAATTCCTCTATAGTGGATTTCCAACTATAGTATGTTTTAAATTCATCTTGTTTTTCACTAAAGTGATTTATCTAGAAATTGATTTATTGTATGCTGACAAGCGATAATATGATCAATATGAATCATTGTTACCATGAGTTTACATGCTGATGCTTTTGAAGTTATGTGAATTTTGAGTTTACATACCATTGGATTCGAATTTGACACAAAGTATGTGAATCTATGTGAATTATAATGAAGTATATCGGGAAGCTAACCTTGCCAGTTCATCATTATCTAACGTCGGGATCGTTAGACCTGGTGCACCTTGTAGGAAAACTAATGTGGTACAGCCACCCTCTAGAAGGGAACCTAGCTGACGAGGTGGTCAGATGGCTATGGTAAATCCGTAGTGGCAGAAAGTATACTCGATACTGGCATTGGATCCTCCCAGTAAATAATGAATGTGATTATTGCAATATCTTGAATACAGTTTTCATACATGAATAGCTAATTTAGTTGAAGCAAGCTATGGCTACTATTTTATAAATTGCATAATGTTCTATTTATATGTATTCCCCAGATAAAATGCTATGGTGCATGTTATTACTCACTCAGTCGGTGTGACTGACCTCGCTTCCTTTTTATCTTTTCAGATAACTCAACTGAAGGTGACCCTTGACTCTAGCATAGTGATAGATAGCGTTGACACCTCATGCAGTAAGCCCCGCAGTTGCTTCGCGTGGACAATCCTTTTGTTTCGACTAATAAAGTATATTAGTGTTTCTAATCCTAGAGTCTTGCTCCTTGAGTCGGACTTGTAAATTGATTTTGGTTTGTATTGGTGAAAAGGCGACTTGGAACTTCTAAAGTTTTGTGGAAGTCACTGACTTTTGATTATGATAATCTTTTAGACTTTATATGTTGTTATGGGAGCAGGTTGGGTTGTTGTGTATTGAATACTGACAGGTTTAAAATTTATAGATTGCTTCCTATATAGAGGAAACTCTGTCGAATTTTTAGCAAGAAAATGGTCTAGGCTTTCTCGGTAGGCTTAGGCTTACTGAGCGCCGGTCATGGCTTATGTGGATTGGGTCGTGACATATATTTTATAACAATATGTTTTATTTTCGATTGGATAATATTGAAGTGTGTACATTCAAATTTTTAATATTCTTTACAAAATATAACCAAACATAATTTTAACTCCAAATTTCATTTAATTTTATTTTATATGATCAAACATTCACATCGTGGTTCATATATTATTATTGAATGCATGTATAGTTTTTTTTTTGTGAGGGTGGGATCAAACTATATACTATTACTTCTTTGGAATTGTGTTTTATTGGCTTATTTACATGTTTATACTTCTATGTTTCGAACTCCCTAAATGAAAATTCTAAATCCGTCACTCGTGGGGAGTGTAGTATACATGTTTGTGGATAACTTGCTTCAACAATAAAATGCTGCAATCATATTCTAAAATACTTGTGGACAATAAAGTGCTTAATGAAGAAGAGATATCCACAATAAAATAAGAGAAAAAAAAAATCTAAATTCATTGATCATTTCATAATTTCATTAATATGCTTACTTTTCCGTCCACATGTTAGCTGGTGTCTGGTAATTAGGATAGATTCACATTTTCAATATTCTACTTTCTTTCTTTACATCTTAAAATCATATTAGATTGTTTATCTTAAATAAAATCAGACTATTTCTTAGATTCGCATCATCAATTTTTTACTCTTCTTCTTTATTTTTTTCTCTGATTCCTTTTTTAAATTAATATTATACGTTAATTTAAATAAATAATTTTATATACGGCCATGTCTCACACATATTTATTTAGTCAAAAAAATCTTTATCTATTATCTAAAAAATCATGAAAAGACGTTTTTATCATAATTATTGTGTTTTCTTTTATAAAATTATACGTAATATTAATTAGTATTAATTCATATCTTATATTTTTTTAGAATAGCGCCAAGTGCGGACAAGTACACTAGATGCTTAATGAAGAGGAGATATCCACAATAAAATAAGAAAAAAAATGATCATATTTACTTGTGTGCTATTTGAAATTAAGCTAAAAAAAATTTGGTGTTTTGATATTCATATCGAAGAAAGCTTATTATAAAGATTGTGCTCCCAACATTTATTTTATTTTTAGAATTTAAATTTGAAACCTCTAATTAAGAGAGAAGGAATCTCAACTATCTCTCAGATGACTCAATGCCTTTAAAAATGAGGCATACGTTTTAGATCCCAAATTCGAAAGGCCTATTATCTAGGAATAAAAAAATTATTATAAGCCTTATTTAATAATAAAAAAATATATACTATATTTTTTAAATTTATTTGTCTTTTTTAGTTTGTTTCGAAACATTAAAGAATGTTTCTTTTTTTTTAATCAATTTTTAAATTTAGCTTCCACATGATATGTTTAAGACCACAAAATTAAAAAAATATTTGTATATATATAGTTTAAGACCATAGAAAAAAAATATTAAAAAGAAAAGGAGATTACTTTGAATCTCATATTTATAAAATAAAAAATAAAAAATTAGGCCTCCAAATTATTTTTTGCTTTAAGCCACTAATTAGCTTGTGTACCCTCTATCCTCCTCAAATCACACTAATGAAATTCCATCAGGTACGTCATTATTGTTGTTATTGTCGTAACTTCAATTATATTGAATATAATGCTAAGAATCTTAAATATTAAATTTTATACTTAAATCTTAAATTCTTACTATTATTGGGTGAAAAAAGACAAATTAATTTAATTAATTATTATGGTAAGATTAATGATAGAAAAGTCGGAAACATTTAGTTGAAATAAGTTTATTAGTGAGCATATAAGAAGTATTTTTTTTTTATAAAGATGTGACACAAGTAATTTAATCTATGTAATACTCAAAATAGATCATCAACCAAAAATATAGATGATTTTAAACGATTTTTTTTTATCTTTAAAAAATATCTAATTAAATAAATTATATATAAATGGATAATAAAGAAATAGTACTTTGAGAAAACAAAAATGAAAATAAATATTTTTTAATAGGAAATAAATTAGTGATTCGTATGGATGTTTATGAGATGTCAATATCACTAACCCCACAAAATTATATTTATTGCACGGTTCTTTGTTGATGCATTTGGTCATTTCTTCATTTATTATTATAAAAAATAGAAAATATATGAAATTGTGGTGGAGCGAATAAATTTGCTCTTTTATTAATCAATAATTTCAGTTTTAAATTTTCAGTATGATTTTTTTTTTTATAGAAAGTGTTTTCATGAATGAGATTTACATAGTATGAATTCAGATTAATCGAATTCTAATATAAGTATTCAATATCTAATATGAAAGAAAAATAAATATAGAGTAGTTTTTAAAATAAATAAAAATATATTTTTATATTTTTTATGAGATATTTTTATTAAAGTAATATGAAATAATGTAGGGGTGATTTTTGTAAGGTTTATTATTCAAGACTATAGTAATTCATTTCAAAAATAATTCTTATACACGAATCTATTTTGTTTAGAATTAATGCCTAGTTTAAGACCATAGAAAAACATGAAGTTTTTATTAAAAAGAAAGAAGTAATTTTGAATCTCAGATATAAAAATAAAAATATATTTAAAAGTTAGACCTCCGATTTATTTTTGACTTTAGGTCACTAATTAGCTTGAGCTGCTCACCACAGTCGATATAGATTAAAGTAACTTTCCCAATTCACTTGATGTTAATTATTTTTTAATCTAAGATTACCCATGTCATCGGAGACGATCTTATTTTTACTTTGGATCCCAATACGACTTTTATCATTAGATAATCTTAATTATAATTAAAAGTTATAAGAAATAAATTTGGACATTTTTCTTGAATAATTTAAATCGTGGAGTCTGCTTGTTTGGCAATGGAATTTCATTAATGACACAAATACGGTACCATTCTTTTTTATTATCACTATTATTTTATTAAGACCTTTTCTATCACAAATTTAAAATAAAAGATAGGTAAAATATTCCTCATCACTTATTTAAAAGGATAGTTTTAGTATTTTACATATATTTAACTTACACCTCATTTAAACTCCATCACCAAATAAGTACAGTCACATAGAATAATGAATTACTTTTATTATTAAGAGTATTATTATAGTAATATTATTAATAGCCACAAAAATCAAATTTGTACACTTCTTAAACAATTTTATGTAACGAAAACTTTCGATTAAGGATCTAACTATTATATTACATTTTTTCCAAAGGTTTCATAATTGAAATTCAAGAACCCAAAATTTATCGGTGTATTGATTTTTGTTTTGTAGGCTGCTAGCTATCGGAGAAAAGACCTTATTTGAAGATAATGATGATGTATATACATTTCATGCTTCTAATCAACTCAAGTCAAAGAAATTTATTCAATGGTCATAGACTCGCCGCTAACTTTTGCTACCTCCAATTAATTAACTTCCATCATTGGGTTCAACAAGCTTTTGATTGTTGTTTATTTCAATTTTCAATTATTGATGTTCAATTTCATTCACTTTCAATTGATCAACGTCACAGGAAGATTGTGCAGTATCAGTGTTCGACGAATTGCCTGTGAAAAATTGATCAATTAGATCGGAATCGAGGGTGAAATCGAGATCAATGTCTTGTTTTTCCGGGGACAGGCTCATCCATGGCAGACTGATGTTCAGAAAGAAGACTATTGGAAATCTTTTCCATTTTTATCTTTTTGCATGAATGTGAGGCCGACTAATTTATAGCTAGGAAATCGAAACCCGATACCCGAAAATCCAATTTTCTATTTTTTTCAAGTGTTTTTTTTATTATGTTTATTTAAAAACCTTAGTTTATTTTATATATATATATATATATATATATATATATATATTATCATTACATATTTACATGTTTATACTTTTATTTTTCGAACTCCCCGAATGAAAATCCTCAATCCATCACGAGTGTAGTATACGTGTTTGTGGA